TCTCTCTCTCTCTCTCTCTCTCTCTCTCTCTCTCTCTCTCTCTCTCTCTCTCTCTCTCTCTCTCTCTCTCTCTCTCTCTCTCTCTCTCTTCTCTGGTTGCTCTCTCAATACTTGTATCACTCTGGCTCTCTCTCTCCTCTCTCTCTCTCTCTCTCTCTATCTATCTATCTCTATGTGCTACTACTAGGATCGTAATTCTGGACACATCCGCTCTACTTCAACTGCAACTTCAGCTATGGCAGCTATGGCCGCCTTCTCCTTCCTCAACCCTAACTGGTGTGCCGCCAAGCAGGCCCTCTGGCGCACAGCCCAAGCTGTGAGGTCACACAAGGCACCAGCAGCGCTTCCGTGAATGATGTGAGCTGCACTGTAGCAGCTATTAATAGTTGCTTCACTTGGCCTTGGTTTGCTTCGGACCGGTACCGGTCACCCGCAGCCTGTCTGCTGCATGAAGTTTGGTGGCAGGGTACCTTCCGGACTTTTCCTGGGACGCTGCTGCAAAATTGGACTTTGGGCCTGGACTTCTTTTGTCGGGTACCGATTGCACGTTTACCGGTCTGCTTGTACGGTACCGGCCCAACATCGACTTAGGACGTTTCGGCCGCCTACAGACCTAAGGACCCTAACGACCCTACCTGGGACTCACCTCCTGGGGACAGGTGGGACTGGGCCCAACTGGGACTGGGACAATTTGGGACCCTGGAACTGGCACTCGGGTGTCTGCAATGTGAAATCCTGTCAAAACAGACGACAGCTGAAATGCAAATGAAACACAGTTGATACGAGATTACAGGAGAAGTAACTTCAGTTGGAACGGTCCTCCCCCAAGTTCAAATGTTCCGGGGTTTCTTGCTTCCCCTTTTTTTTAAACCTTTTTTAAAGTGTTTTTTTTTTTTTTTTTTTTTTTTAAGACTCGCCCCTTCTGTTCTGGGGAGCATCAGTCCGGGTCACCTCCACCGGCAGGAAATGCAAAAAATAATATTCTTGCATGCTTCTCCCCATTAAGGCTGAGAGAACCATAGCCAGTACTGCTTCTGACACCACAAGCCAGATTTCCTCCTCCACCGATTACTTAGCCAAACATCATTGAATGCTTCCAAGAAGGAAGGATTAACTGCTGGGCTATGTCACCCCCAAATACAGCGCTTCTATGGAATCCAGTATGAATAGATCACATACTCAGCCGGAGAGATCCCTGCCCTCCACTACAGCAATCTCTGTTGCTATCATAATCGTGAAGAACCTACCGAACAGAGAATAACCATGTTACCAGGCCTCGGCACACCAGGTGGCTCAGTGACTCTCTATTTATCCCACCTTCCTGTCCTAAGAAGCTATGATCATCGAAGTTCATCAGAAAGAGAAGAACCATGACTGTACCATCCCCAAAAGAACAGGGAGGAAGCATAGCTTTCGAGCAGCAGCACCCCCGCGAATGTCTGTGCAAGGAACATGAGCGATAGCGAACTTCAGAAATCAAACAGCATCATACACATGAGACCAGATAGTCGTGACCTCGAACCAAGAGCAGAATTGCATCACGAGTTTCATCAAATAAGAGCACAGCAAAAGATCATAATTGACAATGCTGGAATAGTCTCATCATCATCAACGAAGAACCAATGTCGATATCCTATCTGGCGCTCGGCGCCCAGACTACAGATGGCAGATCCTATCTCGCCTATCTATGATGCCACTGATGACGTCAACAGCTCCCCGAAGTACGAGCAGATCTCGGCCAATGCCGTTCGCCTCAAGCACCAGGTATGTCTTACGTATCACTCACAACCTTGATCCCCAACTCACAGATGCCACATGCACCCAAGAACCGCCATGCACCCCATCCAGCATACAGCAGCGCAGCTCGGCTATGGCTGCCTGCTCCTTCCAGCTCGCCCGTGAGCGCGTGAGCGCTGGCCAGCGTTAGCGCAGCATCGCTTGCGCAGCATGCAGCCAGTGCCCGAATGCCCAATGCGTGGGCAGGCCCTTTCCTAAATGGAAGTGGCCTGCCTGCCCTGCATGCAGCCTGGCTGCACTGGGCCCCTGCCCAGAAGCTTGCGTGGGCAGGCCCTTTCCTAAATGGAAGTGGCCTGCCTGCCCTGCATGCAGCCTGGCTGCACTGGGCCNTGCACTGGGCCCCTGCCCAGAAGCTTGCGTGGGCAGGCCCTTTCCTAAATGGAAGTGGCCTGCCTGCCCTGCATGCAGCCTGGCTGCACTGGGCCTCTGCCCAGAAGCTTCCGGTAGGCCCAGAGAGACTGAGCCCCAGTCCAAACGAATCAGGCCCTGGGCCTGTGGTGGTTGCCCGTGTGCAACTGCCTGCGGCCTGTGTTTGGTCCCTATTCCGAATCTGGCCCAGGGCCTGCCTCAGTCACATTTGAAAGAGGCAGCCTGGGCCTGGGCGCTCTCAACCAACTGGCGCTGCGCAACTGCCTGAATTTCCCCAGTTGCGTGTTGACCCCAAAATGGGCCTGTAGGCCTTCGTTGAGCCTGCCTTCACTTAGGGCGGCCGACTGTACAGAAAATAGGGCCCAGAAGGGCATATCGAGGCCTTGAGCCTCGCATTCCCTCCTCCACACTTCGCTAGTCCTCTGAGAAGTTCTTTCAATCTGGCGCTTTCCTTTCTGCAGCATCTTCTCGTAGTGGGCGGCAACCTGTGGAGCGTTCTGCATCAGTTCCTCCCGTGTAAACCATCTATCCTCCTTAGGATCACTGTGATGTCTGAACGGAACGCGGTACTGCAGCTTCGGTTTCGGAGGACGTCCCCTGCCTGTAGGTCTTGGAACTGGCATTTCCTTGTGATCCACAATATCATCGATGTTGACCTCTCCATCCATGGTTGGGGGCAGCATTGAGCAACGAGAAGGAAACTGGTCAGTCTCCTTGAAATGTGCGAGCTTGGAGGCGTGAAAGACTGGGTAAGTGCGAAGGTGACCAGGGTTCTGAACTACATATGAAGGCCCATGCGGATCATCCCCAACGATATCTAGAACCTCCCAGGGTCCAAAGTACTGTGGCATGAGCTTGCGGGAGATCCCGTGCTCCTGACCCAGTTCTGAGGACTTTACCCAGACTCTGTCCCCTACCTGGAATGTAGATGGGCGGCGGTGCTTTTGTCAGACTCTATCATCGCCGCCTGTGCCCTGTGGATCTGTTCCACTGCCTGCTGCATTAGTTGTTCATATCGATAGGCGAACTCTAGTGTGCCAGGTGCAGCAGTTGGCTGGTTCTCAGGTAATAGGAAATCCAGTGGTAGTCTAGGCTTGAAAGTCAGTTGCAGACTGTTAGGGCTCACCCCAGTAGCCCTGTGGACAGCGTTGTTGTACAGGCTGGTGATGAGAGCAAGTTTCTCATCCCAGTCCACCTGATTGGGCTTGATGTAATGCCGCAACAGGTGTTGTACAACGCGGTTCAACTGCTCTGCTTGGCCGTTTGCCTCTGGGTGGTTCCCAGAGGTCATCTGCAGCTGTGTACCCTGTTCTGCAGCTGCAGCCTTCCACAACTCACTTGTGACTCTGACATCCCTGTCACTAACAATAGACTTAGGAAGCCCAAAGTCCCTGACCCAGTTCTCCTTGAAGAGTCTAATCACATACTCCGATTTCGCTGTTTCAGGCATTGCCACTAATCTAGCATATTTACTAAACCTATCCACAATGACAAAGATGTGTCTCATTCCACTCTTGCTGGTGACCAGCGTGTCCATGAAGTCCATGGACAGGCTTTCACCGGGCCTTTCTGGAATCGGAAGGGGCTTAAGGAGCCCAAGAGGGGCCTGTGTACATGGCTTGTCCCTCTGACATACTTGACAAGTCTCTACGTACAGCTTGGCATCTGTCATCATCGTGGGCCACCAGAACTGCTGCAGCAAATTGGCTGCAGTCTTCTTGTACCCAAAATGTCCTGTGGCATCATGACACTCTCCTAAAAATAAACTATGCAATGACTCCCGATTAGGCACACACAAACGTTTATTCCCGGCCTTCTCAAGGAACAGCAGGCCGTTGACCAACTCAAACTCGGCAGAAGTTACTTTGTCCTTCGCCTCGAGTCTGCGTATGATCTCGGCCATAAATGGATCCTCGCGATAGGCTTCCACCAAAGAACGAGTAACATCGTCCGCAAGCCCAAACTCAGTGATCACCGCACCGGAGAAGTCTGGCCTACGCGACAGCACATCAACAACTTTATTATACTCCCCCTTGATGTACTGGGGTTCGAAGTCGTACTGCTCAATGACTTCGATCCAAAGCTTCAGGGCGTCGGAGAATACCGGTTGCGTCTTCATCCAACGCAGGGTCTGATGATCAGTCCTGACGTAGAAGAAACGACCTAGGAGGTAGTGCCTCCAATGGATTAGCGCTTTGTAGATCGCATAGAGCTCCTTCTCATAGGTGGACTTGGCCAACTTCTGAGAGGGCATTTTTTTGGACATGTACTCCACATGCCTCAACTTTGGCCCCTCCTGCTGCGTGAGCACGACGCCAATGCCATATTCGCTAGCATCCGTGGTGACTATAAACGGCTTGTCAGGATCAGGAAGTTTCAAGACCTCATAGTGTGTCAGAGCATGCTTCAGATGTCTGAAAGCAGCCGCACACCTGTCTGTCCACTCCCATGGGGTGTCAAGGCGGGTCAGGTCCGTCAAAGGGGCGACCACTATACTATAGTTCTTGACGAAGTTGCGGTAGTCGTCGGTCATCCCCAAGAAGGACCTCATCTCATTCACAGACTGAGGCCGCGGCCAGTCACGAATGCTGGCCACCTTTGCGTCATCGGGCCTCAATCCCTCTGCGGAAATCTCATGACCCAAGTACAAGATACGGGTGCGGCCAAACTCGCACTTCTCGCCGTTAATCTTGAACTTGTGCTGTCGGAGGAGACTAAGGACTTTGTCTAAATGACCAATGTGCTCCTCGACAGTCCTACTGAAGATAAGTATGTCATCGAGGTACACGATGACAAACTTGTCCAGGTAGTCATGAAAGATCCGGTTCATTGCGTGCTGAAAGGTGCCAGGAGCATTGCAAAGGTCGAAAGGCATCACCACAAACTCGTACAGACCGTACCTTGTTTGAAATGTGGTTTTGTGTTCATCCTCGGGCCGGATTGCAATCTGATGGTTCCTGGACTTCAGATCTATCTTCCTGAAGTACCGACACCCTTGCACTCGGTCCAACAAGTCATCGATGTGCGGCAGGGGCTCTCGATTCTTGACAGTGATGGCATTGAGGCCCCTACAGTCAATGCACATCCTCAAAGTTCCCCCCTTCTTCGGTACAAATAAGACAGGAGATCCGTAAGGGGAGACACTCGGCTGGATCCAACCCTTCTCTATGAGTTCCTTGAGTTGCCGATGAAGCTCATCAAGCTCGCCTGGAGACATCGGATAGATCCTACCCTTCAGAATACTAGACCTTGGGATAATCTCTATCGCGTGGACGACCTCCCTTTCAACAACCCCTTTCGGCTTTTTGAATAGATCAGGGTATTTAGCGACAACTCCCTCTATCTCCGACGGCATTTTCACCGGCTCGCCTGCTGCAGAGACATAAACTAGATACATACCCTCCGCTGGATTTTGCTTATAGTAATTATAGAACGCGCCCGCACACATGCATCCGTAGGACTCGAGCAGGCTACTAGCCTTAAACTTACGTAATTTGGCGGTCCCTCCACTGGGCAGTGTGTGCTTGACCACTTTTCGGTCCCAGTCAAAGTGGGGCTGTGCAACCGAAAGATAGTATTGGGAGATCATCGCTGACTAGGAACGAGACGTGATGTCTCAGTTCCCCTCCCGCGTACGGGAAAAGACACTTTATGTCTGTGAGGTAGTGGTTGACTACCATGCGCTGTTTGTTGGCACAGGTCGACTCCACAGGTCAACTCAGGCGCTGCACTTGCCCCTATAAGCGCAGCCTCTCAGCGCACGCGCGACTAATGAAATTCCGCGTTGAGCAAGTGTCATAATAGGCGTCGGCCTTACGGCCGCCGAGGACTACCTCGCCGACGATCAACTCACCCTTAGCGGCTTTGGCCATGGCCGTCCAAGAAGCTAGCGGGTCTGATTTAGACAACTCCTCCTCTAACTCCTCTAAGGACTCAAAGACATTCAGCGAACAGAGGATCGCTGGGTCCGAATGTGTTTGGGGGACGACGATAGAGTCCGTAGCTTGGGCCATCTCTCGAGATGGTGAGGGTGTGTCCACCACCTTGACCCTATCAGGAACAACTACTATTCCTACTGGCCCGACGTGTTTCCCGGAGCAGTGCCAGAACTGCTGGCCACATTGCTACCTACGGAAGCGGAGCATCCCATCGCCTGCCCCATTGTAGGTGGGATCTTCTCGGTCACCTTCTTGTTCCGGCACTTGAACTGGTTATGGCCATATTGGCCACAATGGATACAAGCCTGCTGGGTGTACCGATCTCGTCACACGTCCTCAGTTAGACCCGCTTTCTCCCATGGAGGAGCATTGGGGTCAACTTGACTCCTAGACCGGGAACCTCCACGGCGTCTACCAGTCGCCTTACCTTTCTGGACTGATGCAGCGACTACTCCACCCCCTGAAGCCTCTACGCTGCCCGCCTCTGTACCTACTCCCTCCTGGAAGTCGTCTTCTAACTCGATGGTTGAACCGTCGTTGTCGACGAACATTATGCGACCCTTCGCCTTCCAGTTGGGAGGCAGTGACTTCTTCCTACCATCCGTTGTGGGTGCATGTCCATGCCCTATCTTTGCTTCTAGGTCTAGGGCCTTCTTGCTAAACGAGGGAAAGTTGTCCATGTTGATGTTGGCCTCACCTACCAACTGGTTCCTAAGAGGCATGGGAAAACATCTCAGGTAGGAGGTGAGTAAAACCTAGGGTCGTAGCGTACTCCAGGAACACAGATCAGACTGCGTCTGTGGCCTCCCTTACTGACTTGAGTTGCTTGTTGTTCAGAGTCAGGATCGCGCCAGTGACCTTTCGAGCCTCTTGAGGATCATGCCACCTTTCTTCCACCAGCTTGAGGAAGTCATCCAATTTTTGGTTAACTGCCCAAGCGCGGAAGTCATGACCTTATCCTTGTAGCTGCACTAAACCACTCAACCATCTTGTTGCACTCCCCTCTAAATAAGAGGCAGCCACAAACACTTCCTCGTGCGGCAAGGTCAATTTACAATTGACATAGACCGACACTGACCTCAACCATGCGTTGAGGTCTTCGCCCTTCTTGTCCCCTGAGAAGGGCTTGGGGGAGGCGATGGCCGTCTTCGGGACCCAATGGCTTTGCCCTGGTACCTGTCCCACTCCAGGCTGTGGACCTTGGGGAACAGGCTGCTGCACTAGCTGCTGCTGGGGCTGTGTGCCCTGCGGCTGTGCAGGCTGCAAGACAGCAGGCTGCCTTATTACGGCAACCTGCGACGGAGGTTGGGAGTACACTGTCTGTATAAGAATCTGTACACTAGGACCTGCTGAGAACCCTCCTGTTAACGACATACCTAAGGAAACGGCTTGGACCGATGTTGGAGAGACATATGGGGATACTCCAGTCACCGGTGGGACGAAGTGAGGAGGATGTACAACGGGCCAGGCACCGAGCCCGGACGGCGATGGTGCTGCCTGCGCTCGCACAACCAGTACGGCCAGACTCTGCTGAATGTCCTGAAGGAGAGCCGTGTGGTGGTCCTGCATTTCTACTACACCTAGCAGGACTGTCTGCAGTGTCCTCACATCTGCATCCATGTGCGTCAGGTCCATTCTCTCTCACTCAATAACGTCCGCTTGTCTCCGCTGCACCCTTGCTCTTCTTCTAATCATTTTTTCTTTCTTTGCCCTTATCTCTCCTAGAGCCTTCTGTAGTTGTGCCTCTTGCAGTGCTGCCTGCTGTATGGCGACCTCTTCGGGGGTCAACACTATTGGCTGCCTTGCCATAACGCCAGTGGACTGACTCAGGGTTTGTGCGATCGTTGACCCTACAGTCCCTGAACTACTAGCCTGGGAAGTCTGCTGCGCAGTAGTTGCCGTGGCTGCTGAAGCAGCGGCTTCGCTTGCGAACTCCCTGCTGGCCTTTGCTGCTGTAGCTCTCCGCTGCTGCTGCTGTCTCTCCCTAAGCTGGCAGAACAGGTACTTGTCGCCCTTTGGTCCTAATGCCAAATGGGCTATTGGGTGCCTAGCCGATCGCAAGATCCTGTAGTCCTCTCTAGTGTTCTCCCCGTCGCTCATAAGCTACAAAACTGCACACCGTCTGCACTAGGTCACTCATTCGATGCCTACCGCAGCGCCATGCACAAACCGATTTAAAAATAAATAAATTCATTAATTGGTGGCTAGGTCAGCGTATATACATTTGAGTCCAACAGGTAAGTTCAGATTCCTACAAACGAAGCTATCTTGACTTTGACTAGTTCACAAACAAGAAGCACAGTGAACACGAGACAGTTCTAACTATGTTGTCGGTCAGATGTTAATGGTTGTACATCTAACTAATCAAAATAAAAACAGAATCGTTTGTTGGGTCTGTTTGCAGAATGGTATTTTGCCCGAACTTATCACCTGGAATCTACCCCTCCCTCAGTTCTTCCTGAATGTCTCTTGTTGGCAGCGCCCCTGAGCAATCCGGACAGCGTGCGTGTCTAAACGTGTGCAGACAGCCCACCCCTCTGCCCCGAGTCCCGCTGGGCTGGCCAGCCCTGCACACTTTTTATCCTCGCGTGCAGCGAGCCTTACACCGACCAATTGGCTGATCAGGAGTCGTTTTTATGGACGGCCCCCGAAGTCCTCAGGAATTATTTAACGTCGCAAACAGGACGACGATCACAGCCAATGGAAGGTCCCCACCGGTACTTATTTATAGACGTCCGGTACTCGTCTTTCCCATAGGGCTGGCCTGCCCCTCAAAACCCCTCTATAGCGCAGCGAGCAGACAAAGGACAAAGCAGCAAAGCATGCGTGCTCTACTCTTGGTGGGTTGGCATGGTGACCGTGACCCAGTGCTTCGTCCAGGGCCCTTCAGATATCATTGCCCTCTCCTTCCATATGCTCCACGTGAACATTGACGACTTTCAAGGTTGAGCGCACTCGACTCCTCACATAAGAGGACTCTCAAGACAGAACACATCCTCACGGTAAGAAGTGTCGAAGAGGGTAGATAAGGTTAGGTGCAACGTACCTCAAAATAGCTGCCCCCAACCACAGATGTTCTCACCAGATGACCTGATGCCAACTGTGATGACCAATCGCTGCTTCGGCACAACCAGCATTACACCGCCGCTCCACCTCAGCATCAATCGCACATCAGATAGTTCTCAACTTCTCATCACACTGCGAACACCCAATATACACCACGTAGCCTTCCTGGCGATCCCCTCTCCACGCGGGTCGCTTGCTTATCTTCGCCCTCCTCACTACACACTCCCTACGGCCGCTCGCTTAGCAGCCCGCATGCATGTACCGCATAGGCAGAAGACAAGCGCCAGATGAGCGCAACGTACCACAGCTCCAATACCAAATTGCAAGGAAAATGAGTGATAGTGAACTTCAGAAATCAAACAGCATCATACACATGAGAACAGATAGTCGCGACCTCGAACCAATAGCACGAGTTTCACCAAATAAGAGCACAGCAAAAGCTCATAATTGACAATGCTGGAATAGTCTCATCATCATCAACGAAGAACCAATGTCGATATCCTCTCTGGCGCTCGGCGCCCAGACTACAGATGGCAGATCCTATCTAGCCTATCTACGATGCCACTGATGACGTCAACAACTCCCCGAAGTACGAGCAGATCTCGGCCAATGCCGTCCGCCTCAAGCACCAGGTATGTCTTACGTATCGCTCACAACCTCGATCCTTAACTCACAGATGCCACATGCACCCAAGAACCACCATGCGCCCCATCCACCATACAGCATCGCAGCTCGGCTATGGCTTCCTCCTCCTTCCAGCTAACCCGTGAGCGCGTGTGCGCTGGCCAGCGTTAGCGCAGCATGCAGCCAGTGCCCGAATGCCCGATGCGTGGGCAGGCCCTTTCCTAAATGGAAGTGGCCTGCCTGCCTTGCGTGCAGCCTGGCTGCGCTGGGCCCCTGCCCAGAAGCTTCCGGTAGGCCCAGAGAGACTGAGCCGCAGTCCAAACGAATCAGGCCCTGGGCCTGTGGTGGTTGCCCATGTGCAACTGCCTGCGGCCTGTGTTTGGTCCATATTCCGAATCTGGCTCAGGGCCTGCCTCAGTTACATTTGAAAGAGGCAACCTGGGCCTGGGCGCTCTCAACCAACTGGCGCTGCACAACTGCCTGAATTTCCCCAGTTGCGTGTTGACCCCAAAATGGGCCTGTAGGTCTTAGTCGAGCCTGCCTTCACTTAGGGCGGCCGACTGTACAGAAAATAGGGCCCAGTAGGGCATATCGAGGCCTTGAGCCTCGCATCTGTGCTTGTAACTGTTTTTTTTTTTTTTTTTTTTTTTTTTCCCCAAAGGTGCATGCCCCTTCTATTTCAGGGTCGAGTTGCTTATCACCGGCAAGCATGTTCTTACAACTGGAGAAAAGAGGGAGAGGCAGACAAGACAGAGGGTCAGCCTATCCCTCGTGGCACTAGTTGCCTGGCAAGGGGGGGGACTGCTTCAGGGCGTCCCTCCCCCAAACCGTGGTCTTTCCAGGGGGTGCCCTGCTGGCTGGGAAGCTTTCTGGCAGCACCCAGTCACGCTGCAGGTGCTTGCAATTGTTTTTTTTTTTTTTTTTTTTTTTTTTTTTTTTGACAACAACAATCCCCTTCCATTCT